TCCTGCAAGCAAGAAACAGTGATCAAATGTTGAATGAAAGCATGTTTGCCAACCATTCAGGGTATTAACTTTTAAAAGCTGTTTTCAATAACTACAATTCCTTTAAACAAACAGGAATATTCAATACAGAAACAGAGAGGCTGAATAAATATGATGGGAATTGAAAGGTACTTACTTCTCAGATGAGAATGGTTGTCCTCCCTGAGGTGTAAGCTTCAGACGTTGATCTGATATTTAAAATGGTCACTTCGAGTAGCATCTTGATTAGGAGAAATATTTATAGATTTAGATACGAATCCCATGTGAAAATCTTTAGCTCTTCACTAAAAACTAACATTTGTGCTTTAAAAGATTTTGCTCAATGAAGCAAATCAGGTTTTTTTTTTTAAACGCAAGAAGTATTTCCACCTTCTATGTAAAAAAATTAAAATTGAAGTGATTAATTCCATGCTTCAGGTTGCTATCCCCAATACTTACATTTCCTAGCGTAATTACTTTATTAAAGCTCTGTAATATGTTTTGTTTTTATATAAAAATCTATCACTTAAATAACAATAGCCAAAAGTTAAATCAGGCACACACATGAAGAGGGAAATTTCAGCAACAAGTATCCCTGAGACAGTTAGGTAAGCACCAGACCTGTTCTAGATGATGGTTGGGTTTGGGTTTTTTTTGGTGGGTTTGGTGTTTTTTGGGGTTTTTTTGTTTGTTTGGTGTGTGTTTTTTCTTTTTTTTTTTTTTTTTTTTTTTACATTTGTAGTAGCTATAATCCACTGGAGAGACTCAATTGCTGGAGACCCTGTGACAGTATTTTTCAGGGCATGAAGTTAAAATGGGCTGTGTCCTGAAGAATGACAGACAAGGAACAAATGACAATGTGGCCGTTTTAATTTTCCAAAGCACAGTGAAAAATGAGACAGAGAACAGCAAGAGAAAAGTATGTGTATGTGGCTAACTCAAAGTATGCATCTCTCTGGATTGTTTCTACAATTCAATTTTTTGCTTCTGGAAAAGGCTGAAGATCTGTCACTTTTACTTTTTATGTTTAGGGTCATTTTGTTTATAAAATAATTATCTATTTATAGAAAAATTGAAATACTGTCATTGGAATTGCATCTACAACATTGGTTATCACCATTCAAAGCTATGAGCTTTGTAAGCTTCCTGAACCAAATCCTACCCCCACTCCTCAAAAAAGGCTTTGTTCAGAAGATATTGAAGGGCGACAGAGCAAGAGACAAAAGCTAGAAAGAACTGGACTGTGCTGCTTCTCCGGTGCAGAAACTATGATGTTAGTACTTTGCTATACCTGAAAAAAACCCCCAATACAAAAACACTAGAGAGTTGGTGAGACAGCTTTTAATGAGATTTGTATGATGTAAAACAAACATTCACAGAGCCTTTCAAGTCATGGTTTTCCTGTAGTTACACACTCTCACACACTTAGAAACATTTTAGACGTTAAAATTGGCATTTCTTTCACATTACTATCACTTACTTGGTAAGAAGGCCAAAAAAGGGATCTAAACTTTAGGAGGAACAAGCTTGAAAGCATTAGTTCAGGAAAAGCGGGTGAAAAAAAAGGTCAGAGATGTCTACAGTGTGCTGAAACTCAAGTAATGGGGACATTGCAGTTTGAAGACTTCCCAAAACTGGGAACTGTTTTTTTTCTGGGGACACCCCCATTCTCCAGTTCAACTGAAACAAACTAGTATATCCTCAGATTGGACAATTTGAAAACTTTTAAAAAGTCAAATAGGACAATTAAAAGAACGCTCACATCTACAAGAGTTCAAATGCTGAAGACACTTATTCTGATTTCATTTTTCACAAATCGTTATGTTCAAATAAATCCTGTCCCTGTGTTTTGATAGCCATTAATTTCTGATGTAAAAATGAAATAAAGCCCGAGTTGCAGCATACTCCAAGTCTTACAAGGTCTGAACATAATACTGAAGTCATACCTACAATTGCAAGTACCTTCCTCTGTGCTCATTGGAATTAATCCTGTTTCACTCCAAACAACCGAATCAGGACCTTGAAAACCATCAGGAGCCTAGTCCTCTCAGGGCAGGCACAGTTTAGGACGATGTAATGACCGCTGTCCTTTTAATCACCTCTCTGTAATAATAAGCCTCCAATATTCAGAGGTAAAAATCTCTTCCTTCCTTTTTGTGTGTTTTTCCTGAAAGAAATATTGCAACATGAATTAAAGGCCAAACTATATCAATGACTTGAGTATGTATAGCACAAATAAAGTTTCATAGCTTAACAGTTCGATGCCCTTCTCACATTCACACCATTCTGACTATACATGCTTCTACACCAGAGGTGAACGTATACACTTAGCTAAAACATTAAGAAATACAAGATGAATAAATCAATAGCTAGGATTAGGTCCAATATTAGTTAGAAAAGTTACAGCTATTTACGTACTCATTTGTTTTTCCCAAACACATTTTAAAATATACACAAAACTTGTATTTTAGATGCTTAGGCATTATTTCTATCCCTCTGGTTTGAGCCCCTAGGCAGAAATGTAAATGCAACCACCACCAAATCTATTAGGCACCGACGATGCCGATTTGCAGAAGGGCTGTGATCCAACTGATTTGCTTTCATACCTTTTGCCCTGACAGAGCTATTGAGCTACAAGGGGAAGCACTGCTATAAAAAACAAACTCATGGGAAAAATAAAATAATTAAAAAACCCAAACAAGTACTGTGGGGAAGGAAGTCCGAATATGCTTTGATTCCATCAAAGCGTATGCTGCTCAGTTAGGGAAACAGATGTCTAAGCAGGCCATTCTCAAACAGCCCTAAGAATGGAAGACTAGCTGGCAGGACTTGGTTTTTAAAAGCAGTCTTATCACTTAAATCAACTATATAACACCCATGAAAACAGAGACCCAGCTTAGGAGTTTTAAAACACCTTGCAAAAAGCGAATTTGCTCCTTTTAGAAGTCTTATCCATCAGTTTTGCATTCAGAGTATTGCATGTTAATTCCAGTATTCCTCTTCAAAAATACATTTATTTCAGAAGGTATCATTCGGTAGCTATGCTGCCAGGTTCGAATACCCCACCAGTAACTAGTTTCCATTTTGAAGATACCAACAGAGAAAGCTTTATTCCTGTGATCACAGAAGTAATTTAAAGGTAATTTTAGGGCTTCTCCTTAAAGACGTTACAAAACAACAAATGTTTTTCTCTTACCTTTAACTGTATCACATTAAAATTGGGAGGTGCACTTTCATAATGTAAAGATAGTACAATCACTTTTTGGCACGACAGCCCCTTTCCGGTGAAAGCCAAACATTAGGTAGACGTAGAATCTGTGTACTCCTTTGTGCTTTCAGGGTTCAAAAAGCAAATGGACCTTCAGAAGATGATTTCATCAAGTCTATTTATTAATGCATTTCAAGTTTCAAAAAACCTTACATATCTTTGCACAATACTTTATTTTTTGCATTTTTAGTAAAAATTTCCAAAGTGAACAAAAAAGGTACTGTATAAAACACAGTGGACATGAAATCGACAGTAGTATTCCATTTCATTGTCTTGAACTTTCTTTCGGTTTTACCACATCTTGACTTGCAGTGGAGAGTTCAGTGCACATTTCTGTTTTCAGAAAACATTTAACTTAGACGCAAAA